TATACCCAAACAATACTCTGATTTTTAGATCAAAGTTGTATGGAGAAATGAAAAATCTACTGAAATGCATACTGTTCACATTGAAAAATGCTAAAATGATGTAATAACATGGAAAAGAATACATTGAACACGTTAGTGCAAAGTTGTTGATACAGAACTGATATCGAGTTCTAAGTTGGATTATATCAAAAGTATGAGAATAATCGTTAATGATTATGAGAAAAAAGAGAAAGAAATAGTTGCACGCGGTATCATTAAAAGTATTGTAGTTGGCGATGAAAGTTAGGATGTAATTCGTAGAGATTTTAAGAGAACAAATAATTTAATAGCAAATTCTGATCAGATCACAAGTGATAATGATAATTTGTCTCTTAGTTATTTGTTTAACGGTACAATATAACCGATTATTGCTGATACATCTTTACTTATTCTTCTCAATTTTACAAAAGAGAAAATATAATGCGGGAGTAAGCTTTTGAAAAAATGTAGATATCTTTAAACAAGAACCGAACGACTATGACGAGAAGAAAATCGCAAGTTCAGGCTATACAATGCAAACTTAGTGAATGATACGATACGTGAATGTGCAAAAAAAAAATGAATAGAAACAGTTAGTAAAAATTATAGTATCATGAAACAAATATAGAAACACTAGATACCATAGCTAATGATAGACAATGAAAGAAAGATATTAACTTGCTCCACCTCAATAGGATAGAAAGAAGTTGCAATGAACCATTTTTGTTGAGAAAATGTTGATAGTGCAATCGGAATGTCCGAATATTTCGAGTTTTTTACAATCGATTATCATATCGTTTTATCGACTAAATGGTTTATGAGCATATGATCAATGGAAATCTAGTTGTAGTTTCTTTAATTGAAATTCATGATGATATTATTATGGCTGTTAAATGATGCAGGAATTATATTTACATTACTCTTTATAATATTGTTTTTGAGATTTTTCATAGTGAATGAACTTCATTCGAATTGAAATTCGTTTCTGCTGCTATATAATATATATCTGAATAAGTGTTAACAGTTGCGTATTAATATATCAATCTATAGGATAGAAAAAAATCTGATTAAATGATTTCTTTTAATAACATACACTTAGTCCTTATTGTCATTATAGTTTTGCTTAGGATATAAGTCTTCACTCATAATTTCTCATTGCAATCTAACACTCTCACTCTCATTTGTAACTCTAAATAAATTACATACAATAAAAATATGAATTTTTTCGAATCAGTAATACAAAGCTATTGCAAACAATATATTCAGATTTCTTTGTTTTTACTATAGAAATTATTCGTTCAATTTGATCATATCCAATGGAAAAACATAAGAAAGACTAAAAATAGATAGAATAATTGCTGTCGTATGTAATAGTCATATATATTGACTTTGACGATGTAAATAACAAGACGATTCGATTAGATTTATGATCGATAGAATAATGAAATTGTAACATAACATTATTTTCTGTCTACTTTAGTGTTTATTCTTCTTGAATATGACTCAGTTTGCTTTTTTTTTTACATTATTACACTCTCTATTAACATATTGAACTGTTCGATGAGGATCATTCATCGATGATTAGAGAACAATTCGTTTTGAAATCATTTAATAAAATGATTTAATAGCTATTTATCGATTATATTTATATTTATTTTTCTTTAGTAAAAACTAGTTTATCAATTACCAAAAAAAAAAAAAAAAAGTTTTATTATCTATTGTTTCATTTTTTTTAATTTGAATTACTAGATGGATGATTATTATTTGTTATTGAAATATTATTTGCAAAATCAAATAATAGTTTCATTTTATCATCTATTATTCGTTCTAGAAAATCAAAACGTCTAAAACAATAAAAGATAAAATGAATATTATAAAGTGATTGATAAAAATACTTTATTCATATTTTACCTTTGCAGAAGAGATAATTCTGTATCAACATCTGCCATATTTCGTATTGAACGTGTTTTATTTTTTCGAATTGATCTATAAAGAAAAAGTTGTTTATATTTGTCAAAAAAATATTTTTCGAAACTTTATACTTTGTTTTTTCTGTTACAAAATTTGTTTCAGTTGTTGGTGATAAATTTTCTTGTTCTTGTTCTTGTTCTTGTTCTTCTTCTTCTTGAAAAGTTACTACATTAGTTTTAGTCCTTTTTGACATAGCAACAATTGTTGAAAATACACTTGTCAAAGTTCCTCAAAAATATAAAACAAATCTCATTATATACAACAGAAAAGAAAAAAAATAAATAAATAAATTTTTACCGTGAGCTAAAGGTCCTAATGATACTCTTGATGTTTCCTGACTAAATTCCAAATCTTCAGAAGACGTATTTGCTTGATCAGGTGATAATTCAACAATAGTACTTATAGGTCGTCGTCGTCTACCACCATCAATACTCATGCGAACACCACGATATGAACGTAATGCAGCAAGTCTATTGGCTTTTAGATAAATATAGAAAATATGATGTATTAATTAATTTTTCTTTTCTCTTAATTTACCTTCTTCATGTTGACTTAATAAACTCAATTGTCGATCTGATTGTAATTTTGGACGATGTTGTCGAATAAGTGTTTGAATTTCATCATCTAATTTATAAAATGGTTTTGATTCATTTAATTCACACTAAAAATAATAGATAAAAGATTTATTTTTGGAAAGAAAAGAAATTCTATTTTTACTTGTCGAAGATCAAATGTAACTTGAAAACGTTCTGCAAATGATTGTGCAAAATCAGGATATAATTGAAAAACATGTAATATATCATCACGATGAATTTTATTTAATGTACAATAAGTTAAACCTTTCAAGAATATTACAAAATATAAGAAATTTCATTCAAGAAGAAAATAAAATAAAAATAAAAATCTAGTTCTTCATACCTCTTACAACACATTGAGATTTTCCTGGTGTAATAGTATTACATGGATTTTCTCCGAGTATATCATTTCGACCAAGGATAGCTTGTGATTCATTATTTTTTAATATTTCCATTTGACCACCACGTATAAAATATATTGAATAAAGAAGATCACCTAAAAATTCAAAAAAACAAAAAAAAATAGATTAGATGAAATTTAAAGTCTCATATTAGCAGATATTAATTTTGATAATTTATTGATTATAATTCAAAATTAATAATTTATATTTTATTTAGATTGCATTTTTTTGTTATCTACTAGATTAAATATTACCTTGATGAATCAGTGTATCACCTGGTGGAATATGAGTTGATTTAAAAAGAAGAGCTAATGTTCGAAGTGCAACTTGAAAAAAAACACAAAGAAAATTCTTGCACGACAAGAAAAGAAAACCAATTTATGAATAATATATATATATATATGTACCTTCACTTGCATCTTCAAATACTGGACAATTATTTAATAATTCTCGATTAAGATGAAGACATATATCAGCTTGAATACATTCTGGAAATGTCTTCAATATACTATTCATATCAATTCCTTTTGTATTTTTCCATTCATGATCAAATGATTCTTGCATTTGTTTAGCAAGTTGTTTACTAATACGATGATGTTTTATAAAATCATCAACACTTTGTTTCATTTCTTTTAATTCTTCTGTACCTTGATATAATTTAATAATTATTGTTGTTACACTTCCCAAAATAGAAGCACTTAAAAAAGCTTTACAAGAGCGACAAAAAAAAACAAAATTTTATTTAAGTTTTTTAATATTGATACATACATCCAGCTAGCATTGAAAGAATAGAAAACAACTTTTCACCATTTGTATTCTATCCGGAAAAGAGATATACATGATTTAATTAGAAGAAAAAAA